CATTCGACCACGCTGTTCCTGACACACTAGCTTCTGCAGCTCCTCAGTTATACCAAGGAACACTCTTTCCCCAGACACTCATGGAAGATATTCAGCCAATAAACACCAGCACGGCTCTAGCGGTTTGGAGTTGGCATCTGTTCTCATAGGGCCAGTAATCATGCTGTGCTCTTAAAGGATTTTACTATTATTCCTGCATATAACCATCCATAGAAGTCCTTGGTTTGGTTCACGTTTCTCTTCAAAATTCATTAGGAGGGCTTCTTGGATCACAATGTTTTTTAAAAAAGCAGCTGCCCCTACACACACACGCAAACACACACACACATGCACACACACATGCACACATACACACCACCCAACCCCTGACCTCATCATCACACTCAGGTCATTATCTTCTTGACAGGCTTCATTTTCGTAGCATTTATTGCACTCTGACATAATATAGATCACTGCCCAGCAGAGAGTGTGTGTTAAGTAAATATTTCCTGAGTGAATAAATAGTGAATCACATATATTTTCCAGTCTTCTTTTTATTAAAATTTTAAATTATTTTAATAATTTAATTACATAATTAAGGAACATGGGTATAGATTTAAGGAAAAAGAAGTCTCTTTAATTCCATAAAACGTTAAATTGAAAAAGACTTCAACATGTCAAAAACTGTATCACAAGCCTCTATAAAAGGAAAATCATTAAACAGTAATACTGGACGAAGCAAGCTATGTTACTTAACAAGCTATGTGAAATAAACAGTCTTTAAGTGATCTGAAACTAACAGCATGAAGAGAAGACCTAGTTAAGAGTGCAACTTTCTCTTGTATGAAGTGTTCTTTGTTTGCATGTGTCCAACATGAAAGCAATTGCCTCAGACCTGTCTGTCACAGAGAGCCTTCCTCTCTGCAAAAATCTGCCTCTACTGTTATGGCATCCTGCACCAAATTCTGATGAAAAGCCACAAGTACTTGATTTAAGTTGGCAGGCAAGTCATTTGTCTAAAGTTCAACTTAATGGCTCATTGCCTAACTCACCTGATTTATTCATGAACTTTAATTTCCATTCTGAAAGATATTTCTTTTTAAAAAACAGCTAAGTCTGAAGCAGTATCAAACTTAACAAGGCAAATAAACTTTCAAGTTACCATTTAAATGTTAAAGTTGAACTAGGTGTCTTTCTTAACTAAATTTCATCAAGCCCTATATTTAACCTCAAATCCTAGGTTGGGCACCCAGTATTACTGTTCATTGATTTTTCCTTCATAAAGACTTGTGGTACAGTTTTTGATATGTTACAGTCTTTTTCAATTTAACATTTTATGGAATCAAAGATACTTCCTTTTCCTTAAACCCACACCCTTATTCCTTAAAATTAGCGTTTATTCTAGTCTCTGAAGTCTAGTCTCTACAGTCCAGACACATAGGAGGTAAGAAAACAGGCTCCCATCTCAGCTCTGTGTCTTATCTGTTGTGTTATCTTGTGCAAATTATTTATGATTTTAAGCTTCAGCTCCTCATTCATCACACTGTATGAGGTTAAAAACAACACTAATCTTGCATGGGGTAATTATAATACTTCATAAGAATATGTAAGGGTTAAATGAGATAGTGCATATCAAACACTCAGCAGGGAGCTGGTTTCTAGCAATTCAGTGCTTCAACAAACGTTTACTGAACGCCTACTGTGGGCGAGCCCAGGTCTAGGCACTGGCACTAGAGCTGCTCCAACTGTTAAATGTAATTCTGGCCCTTATGGAATTTACATTCCACTTGAGGAAGACAGACAAGTACAAATACATCATGTGAAGTAATTTCAAGTAAACACAACTGCAGCAAAAAGATACTAAGAGGGGAAGAGGGGAACATAAGGGCGTAAGGGGTTATTTCACGCAAGGTAGTCAGAAAAGGTCTCTGTGATGAAGTGGGAACAGAAACTGACTCAGTAAAGAACAGGCTCTGTGCGTCTCCAATGTGCTTCCTAACATAAGAACGATGGTGCTGGGTGATCAACAACCCTTGTTTAAAACAACGGCTTGCATCTTCCATACCTTTTCACAGGCTTTGGGAAGCAGCGCAGGAGAAATGAGCCTGTGGAGGGTGAGGGAGGGATGGCTTGGGCACCCACTAGCTTTATTATCATGAGAAAGTTAAATAAATCCTAATCCTAGATTGTCTAGTTTTCTGTACTTGTGGAGATAGGAAAGAGAATCCTTTGGCCACTGTGTCCTCCAGTTAGGCATTATGATGATATACTTGTATTTTCATGGGTAAGAAAGAAATAAATAGGAAGTGAGCAGTAAATTGCTATAAGCAGAAATTATATTGAGACCAAAATGGCATTCTTTATGTAGGCTAAAAGTGAAGTCTGGCAAGATGGAAATGAGATGTTTTACAGCATAGTATATGGTCAAAGACATTAACTTCTTACACAAATTAAATCAAGAAATAGATTCCTGTTATAAGAGTATAAATAATTTCTCAAAGGAAGATATATAACAGATAATACCACCATAATAAAATCTGTATCAATTTGTTCTTCACTCATAATTGAAAATTGTCTAACTTTTACAACCTCTGCTTTGTGATTTTCTTTTAAAAGCATAATATGATTCATTAAATAACATGCATAACAATATTTGCAACAAACAGATAATGATCTGCATATTTCAAATACCAGTACTTTAGATCAGGTTAATAGTCAGCTAGATAAACTTCAAATTTCTACCTCATAAAACAATCATACATAGCTCCTTAATCTTCTATAGCTTTCAGTCTACAGTTATTTTCATAGCTATTGCTATATAAAATGATGAGATAATCAGCTCCACAGCCAGTGTTAGGGGCTTGGGAGAAAGAGAATAATTGACCATGTAACAGTCCACAGAATCTTTTCCATTTATCTAGACTCATTTCATGGAAAACTTTATATAGAGAAGGATATAGCTTTATTTGAAATTATATATTCTTATTGAAGCCCAGATCTGCATTTTTATGTGCCTCTTCTATGGCTGTGGTCTCTCAATTTAGACCTGGCTCAGCAAGTAGAAAATGCAAATATCTGGTTGGCTGTAAAATGGGATATCAATATCTCTGAAAATCCAGTTGCATATCTTGTTGACCTAACATGGGTAAAAAGCATCTTCACTGCGCTGAATTTTATTTTATGCTGCAATTATACTTTAATTCATACTTTTACATGTACAGGTAAGGATACAAAACTCCTGTCACTTATAGTGATAGAGGGAGGGTAGTGGTAGAGGAGAGGTTGAAGACAGCCCGTAACTGATGGTTTGAGCAGCTAAGTATTTGGTGTTATAGGTTTCCCCCATTATCTAAAAGTTTGCTTTATGCCACTCTGCTCTTACCAAAGGCTTACATTAGTACCTGTTTTTGCTAACCAAAAGAAATTCAAAGAGTACTTTCACTTTTGTGACATGGTAATTTCTTCTTTGCTTTATGTCATTTTGGCTTATAAAAGGTTTCATAGGAACACTCTACTTTTGAGTAGTGGGGAAAACTTGTGCCATATACTAAAAAAGGAAGGATAAATTTTGGAGTTAAAGGTGATAAACTCAGTTTTAGGTAAAGAGTAGAAAAATCTCTTTTGTCTTTTGGGAAAGACATAAATGTAAGTTAGGAATATAAATTTGTAAGCCTCTGCTATACAAATAAGTAAATGAAGCCACAGGAATAGATCACCTTAATCAAAGGAGAGAACTAGAATTCTGCAGAACAACAGCAGTTCTTCATTTATGGAAGAGGAAACATTGACAGACTTCTCTGTTTTACTAGAGCAAAATGTGACAACCTATTTCAAACCAACAGAGAATTTTTATATGGTTTTCTGAAGTTAAAATGGGGGAAATAGCAAATGGAAAAATATAAATGAAGAAATGAGCCAATCTTATAATTCTAGAAAATTGTGAAAGAAGGCCAATTTCTTAGCCACAGAATTAGTGTTTAGCAACTGACAGTCAAAATCTTCTGTGAAAGCAATGTTAAGGCTCAGCCCCTCAGTAATGACTGAGTAATACAATGTGAGTAGAAATATAGACATGATGTTCTAGACTAACAAAGGATAGTATAACAGCTGTTTTGATTTTTTTTTTTTTAATTTCTTTAGCAGAATCTGGATTACATTAGCATTCTTGGGAATAGCACTTGCTTCATATTAAAAGTCATCCCTAGATATATAAAAATTGAATTAGCAGACATTAACCTACCAGGTTTTCTGGCTGTTTATGGCTACACTGTTCTTCAGAGTAGGTGGCCTCAAAGAAAAGGACTCTTGACTATCCCAATTCAAGTTCTGAGAGAACTTGAATAACGTCATGTTCTGAAACATCAAAAGTACTCAGAAACCAAGGCAGCTCCATTGCTCCACTTTGGGCCAGGCCCCACAGCATTTACCTTAAAACACAAGCCACCTTCATACCCATTCCTTACCTCACAAATCTCCTAAAGCACATGAAACTAATGTGTTCTGTGCTAGATCTCAGAGGTAAAATTACCTAGAACAATCTCTTACCCAGCTAGTTACCTGCTGGCTCCACATAAGAAACTTATGATTTACTATATTTGAGAAAAATAGTGTAGCTTTTAAAACTTCTCATGTCTTATAATATATTGTAAACTTAACATCCAAAATTAAAATTCCAATTCACTTGTAATTGCTGGAGATATTCTTTGACTTCTACATCTTAAAATCTTGTATAAACTCAACTCAAAGTCTGAACCTTATAAAGTAAAAAAAAGTGTTAAGTCTTTTAAGGAAAACTGGGAAGGAAAAAAAAAAAAGAATAGGCCATTTGTAACCCAGCAAACACTGAATAAAAAGGCAACCCATCTTAATAAAACCAAGGAAATGCTATGCTTCAACATTAGTACGACTGGTAATCACAAAGCTCTTTTGTTTCCAAACTTTTATAAATAATGTAAGAACTTTATTTGTTGTGGTAAATGTTAACTCACATTTAAAATATACACACACATAAATGCACTTACCTTAGGAATAGGATTCAGCAGAACTACACCTGATTTCTTAGTGATGACCTGTTTTGTTGTATAGTGATGATCTATGAGTTGAGGAATGTTTGAAAAACCAGTGCCTTCAAATCGATATAGATTCTGGAGAAAGAACAATAAAGTAGAATAAATATGAAGACACTGCTTCAGCAAGACCACATTCAGCAATAAATTAAGTTGCACTAAGAAAAACTATTCTATGAATGTACATAATACTACTGAATGGTTAAGATGGTGAGAGTAAAAATAAATAAAACTCCAACATGCTGAAAAATTTTAACTTTCCATCAAGAAATTAATTTTTATAATGACTAAACATACTTCAAACCATTAAAAAAGAGAAAGAAATGAAGGAAGAAAATGAAATACTAACAAAGACCTGGAATGCATTTTGCTAAATGATAACCAAAGGAAATAAAGCATGAGATACATTTGACTTAATAAACAAGCAATGCATTTACATAATATTTACATATATGCCCCATCTGATAAAACTTCCAAGATCAAAAATAACGTCAAAGCTTGAAGATATTATATTATAGCCAATATAATGATATATATTTGAAGAACACCTCAGATGATCACTATTTCCTACTTACCAATATAGTAGTAATTGGTATTTCTCTTATGGGGTTATTCATGTATTATTCTTTCACCAAAAGCACCTAGTCATTTACACACCATTGACAAAGAAATAAAATGCACAGTGACAAAACTGCAAATATCAGCATGCTCAAATCTTGCACTTTGTGGTTTTATAACATTAGATAAGTAACATTTTCTCAAACTCCGCCACAACCTCTTTTCAGTGTCTTCATATTTCAAATAGGCATGCAGGTCAGTTATCAAATGAATAAATTGATAGCAGTAAATTTAGCAAATAAAAAATATCTTATTGGCCATACTTTTCAATGCAGGAAGCACTGGAATGAATTGTAAGGTATTAAAAACTTCTATCGGACTGTTCACAAAATGCTCGCCAATACATATACATACAGGTGATACGTACAGATACCAATATGAATATGCTCTAAGAAAACTCTCTGTTAAGAAATAAGAACATTTAAAATTACCTAAATTTGGGTATTATTTATATTACTGGAAGATTATTTCATAGTTAAAAGATTTAAAAAATTAAAGCTCCTTTTCCATAGTATAAGATTCAATTTACCAGAATTCAACTTATAGACCAACTATTTAAATGGATATTTGTTTTATCAAGTGAGGGTCAAACAGGAGTTAGCTGACTATAAAACTAACCATAGAATATAATTTAACTCAAGGCAGTTTGCGTTAGAGTCAATTCAGGGCAAATTGTTAATAAACTGCCTAAAGAATTTTTGTATATAGCAGCCAGACCTACTATGATATATTAACAACGACGTTAAGAATATTTCTTACTGAAGACGCTAACCTATTATTAGGCATGCAATGTGCTGAGCAAGTTCTCTCGGTGTCTCAGTTAATTCATTGGTGAAACAAATAATATTTGGATCTTCTCAAAGAGTAAATATGAGGCTTGACCAAGTATCAACATGCAAACCCCTGTGCCTGGCATATGGCACATGGTACACACTCAATTATTAAATCACCAAAGCAATAATAATCCTTGGGTTACAAAAATAATTCCAAACCCAGATATAGGAAAAGAAACATTTTCAAAGAATACCTTAAAGTGTAAATCACATTTTCTCAAGGAATAATCATTATCTGTAAATAATCAGATATCCTGGAAGGCATTCTTATATTAAATTGATTAAGAAATAAAGAAATTTAAAAGGTTATAGAAATGTAACATGTAATAACAATAGTAACAATGGTAATATTTCAACCAAATATACAGTATTATATCCTTGAACATTGCTGAGAGTAAATCTTAAGCATTCTCACCATGCACACAAGAAAGTATTTAACTTTCTTAACTGTGAGGTGTTAAATATCTTAATCCTGGTAATCATTTTACAATGTATATCAAACCATCATGTTGTACACTTTAAATATATATAATTCTGTTAGTTAATATTTACTGACAATGCATTCCTCCATAAAGTTAAAAATTTATATACTGTTACTCCCTTTGTCTGATTCCTTCAGTCTACTCTTAACATAGCATCAGGAGATCCTGTTACAGTAGATCATTCCATTACTTTGCTATATTCTTATCTCCCTCAGAATAAAAGCCAAAGTCTCTACCATGGTCTATAAGACTCTACATAATCTGTCCTCTAGCATCTCTCTTACCACTACCCCCACCCCCACTTCCCTCCAGCCACACTCCTTTCCTTCTTGTTGTAAAACACACTATATATACTCCTTAGTCAAGGAGTTTACATTTGCTGCTTGAATAGTTCCTCAGATGGCCATATGGATAATGGCTCCCTTACTTTTTCCAGTCTTTCAGCATAAATCACCTTTTCAGTGAGGTCTTCTCTGACTACCCTATATAATATTCAATTCCCCATTTTCTCACCCCAGCTAAATTTCTTATCTCTTTTTCCATATTAAATTTTTCTCCTCAGAACTTACCACCATCTAATATCATACATATTTTATTTTTCTTGTTTATTGCCTATCTTTTCTAGGATGTAAGCTCATGAGGTGATAAATTTTTACATTTTTTTTCTTAGAAAAAATGTCTATTTTTATTTTATAAAAGAGGCAAGTATTCCAAATTCACTGATGATGACAAGTGGTTCCAGTGATGTGACAATTAACTGGCTTTTTTTCCCCCCAAAAGAATAAAAACATTCCTTATATCTCTTTAAATACAGATTTTTTTGGTTTTTTTGGTCCCTCAACTTTATTGTCATTTTTTTTAATTTAATTTTATTATGTTATGTTAATCACCATACATTACATCATTAGTTTTTGATGTAGTGTTCCATGATTCACTGTTTGCGTAGAACACCCAGTGCTCCATTAGTATGTGCCCTCTTTAATACCCATCACCAGGCTAACCCATCCCCCCAC